CAAAGTTCCTCACGGATTCAGTTTTGGAAGCTACATCTACTCTTTTTAGCTTATTGAAAAATGAGAAGATATAAATAAGATTAGTTTTTAATGATATAAAAATGAAACAGTTTCGACTGAATTGATAAATAGCTTTTATTTTTGCCCAGCAATGTTAATACAACCAACAGTCTATTCCCAGACCCTCTTTATGTTCAAACTTCTGAGCCGCTAATGGCGGACAAAACTATGGTCAAGAAAAATGGGACAGGACTTTACAACTAATTGCTCTACGAAACACAGGAAGCCCACTGTCTACGACATGAACTTGGCGTAGACGTTGATACACACACGACCTTGATTGTCATGCTCTGACCAGTTCTTTAGATCTTCTCCGTACCAGACACGAATCTGTTCAAATGGAGGCAGGTAAAAAGGTGTTGAAAAATCAGCAAAGACAATATCCCTGGAGTTGGAGTCGCTTACAAATGGCTGCCAGTACCAAAGACCACCATTCCTGAATTCAAAGAATCACGTGATCAGTCATCCGATCAATCTGAGTCCATCAAGAAAAAAGAAGAACATTATGTACAATAATGATCGTAAAATGATAATATAAGAAGAGCTCAAGAAAAACAGCAGCAATGACAACTACAGCTGACGAAAATTTCTTAAAGTGTTCATAAAATTACAAAGTTCTTTTTAGATTTTTATTTGGGTAAAGGTACTCTTGCAAACAAGTGCAACAGAAAACAAATAATGTACTGAACGCGGTATCGATCAATATAATACTGACCAGGCACACAGCCGGTCGAAATTCTTTCACTCCACCGCAAATAAAAAAATTCGTAAGAAATACAATTTTAGTAATATTAGTTGATTATTGATATAGGTTAATGTGGAATGGAGGGTCAAGACTATCGCATGTCATATTATGTTTTACCGTCCTAGCGATCGTCACTCTTTACCCGTCCCTCCCATCCCAGCAGAAATATATAATGTGACATTAAACTGCTCATTATTGCCCAACACACTTGAATTCTTATTAATATCTTGTTCGTTAGACACTTAGTTTATTGATTATTTGGCATGGACATTAATTGTCCATCCTACAGTTAATGATCGATAAAGAGACAATTTAATGTGTCTGCGCATGTCAGAGATACAACTTTCCTACTTACACGATAAACTCCTTTTTAGGGAAGATGACGTGGTTGTGTCTGTCTGTGACGACGACGTTTAAAGGATGATTGATRTATGAGCCATAGTGGCCACACCCCCAGCGACTATTATAAGCTGTGTTGGACACACATCGCACTTCTCCTGAAACATACTCTAGCTTGACAGCAACAACCAGACCATAATCAGCATAGCTTATCAACGATCCGTACCGGTCACCACGAGCCTCGAAGCACACAGGATGGAGGTTTAGTCGTTTCCAGCCTTTGGCTGACGGCTCAGAACGAGCTGAAAAAAAGACACTAGCAATATTCAAACACTTTAAATGGTCCTCTTTAAACGGAACAGAAAAAAGTTGATTAAATACTGTTTTTTTTAGTATTCAACCATTATCAACCAGGAGAAACAATACTCCGTTGCATCTTTTAATAGAATAGTCCCCGAACGAACAGCAATAGTCCCCGAACGAACAGCAATAGTCCCCGAACGAACAGCAATAGTCCCCGAACGAACAGCTGAATCAATAATAGAGCCCGTGAAAGAATCGTTTTGTGCAGCTTAGAAGTGAAATGTAACGATAGAAAGTCGACTAAGAATTGATGATAGACGGGGGCAAGAATAGCAAACAATAGACAAAGAAGGGACGATGGCAAAAAAAGAAGTGGTAAATCTAGAAGAAAATACAAAGAATCAAAAAGTTAACACTAATAACTAAAAGAAAAATATACTAGCTCCGTTGAAATACWATTTTCAGTGATTGCTGAACAATTACRCAGTAAAATATACAACTGACTAGTGGTAAAAATAACGCAGTTGTAATAGACTTACCAAGTCTAGAAGCAGATGAAGAGCAGAAAAGAGCGATCGCGAGCAATAAAGTCACCAGCATGATGTTGAGACTGATAAGGGCGAAGTCAAGGGTGCGAGAGGTGATAAAGTATTAAGCGGTCGTCTATTTGTCTTTCTCGATTTAATTTAATGATTTTGAATTGTATGTGTTTGTTTGTATGTCACTAATTAGAGAATATAAACACTATTTGCTCAAAATAAAATTATATACTACTTGCGCAATAAAATGTGACAACAACTGATCAAATATCGCCTCTATGGCCTTAATTAGTCGCAAATTTAACTATTTAGTTTAGTTGGTTATTACGGTTACCTATTTCATTATTGCAAATCGAGGTCGATATTTGATCAGTTGCTGTTGCATTTATTGGAGCAAAATGTGTGTTTATATTCTCTAATAAGTGACATACAAATAAACCGGCATATACAAATTTTTGGTTATTTTTGAAACTGCACTGCATAACTAATTCCTCTGAACAAAATAATGCGCAGAGAAATGCGAACGAATGGTTGACAGTTGCTAACTTTGCTTACAATCAGCCAATTTCACACAGCGGTCACGTGGTTCAGACCTGGTCTTGTAGAACACTGCATGTGACATTTCTTAAAAACAGTGACTCTCCTCACTAGACATTCAAAACATTTCTGRACGTGAGGGTTAACAACGCTTTTGACGTTTCACAAGTAAAAGTGAAATTAAAAGAAATTCATTGATTTTTATAGTTATAAAAGACTAGAAGTTTGGAATAGCAGTTTCTAAATGTAATCAGGGTTTGCATACTGTTAGAAATCAGTTGGCAGCACCCGATATTTAGCACGTGAAATTAGTTGTAAATGTTGACAAAGAAAACGGTTTAGCACGTAGATATCAATAATTATATAAAAGACAGATATTTCTTTCAATTCAACTTTAATGACTGAAATCACAATTACAGAACATAAYCGCGGAAAATCATGACTTAAACGAACTTAGCCAAAACATCAACGCACACACGACCTTGATTGTCTCCTTCATTCCAGTTCTTCAGGTCTTCTCCGTACCAGATACGAATTTGACCGTATTGAGGCAAATAGAAAGGCCTTGAAAAGTCAGTGAACACGATTTCGTCTGAGTTAGCATCGTTAACGAAGGGTTGCCAGTACCACAGACCACCGTTACTGTAAACAAAGAGAAGCATTGTSAGTGATTTGGTGATTGAATGGATGCTAACCAGTTCTACTYACACTACGTAGTCCTTYTTAGGGAAAATCACGTGATTATGTCTATCTGTTACAACAACGTTGAGTGGATAGTGGATATAGGAGTGGTACTGCCCGCAACCCCAGCGACTGTCATAGGCAGTATTTGACACACATCGCACTTTCCCTGATTTGTATCTCAGTTTAATGGCTCCAACCAGGCCAGAGTGAACGTAACTGTACAGTGAACCAAACCGATCCCCTCGAGCTTCAAAACAAATGTCGTGTACATTAAGCTTCTTGAATCCGTCTTTCTCTACGCCACTAGCTGTAAAGATAAAAGAAATATATTGTTAATAGTTTTTGTGAGTAGGGCCACTTCTGTCAAAGGAAACCCTTTTTGCTCTTCTTCGAAAATCACTTCCAGTCATCATGACATCATCAAGCACCATCAAAAAGACCACACCTGATATCAACAAACATTTCAGTATGGGAGCAAATGATCTTTAGATAAAAGAGAAAKAACACTTGCAAAATCGAGAAAAACACCGCACTTTAAGAAGGAATAAAGAAGACGATGGTGTAGAAGGAAGGAAGAAAAGTTGGAAGGCAAACAAACAAACAAAACGATCGAAGARAARCCAGACGGGAAAAAACAAATCAAAGGAAACTTACCGTCAACTAGAGCGAGACACAAAACCACAGCTAAAGAGCTGATCAGAAACATGTTGTCAGAGGTGGGATATTAACCAACAATATGATAACTACAACATGAAGGTATATATATAAATGGAGTATGTTTGCTTAACACATTGCCAAAGAAAGATTTATTGATAATAAAAGAAAACAATTATCATTTCTGTTAATTAAATTACCGCCCTCATTTGATTATTGCTCTTAGAAAAACAAACAGCATTTATGTTAACTATTATTAAAGATTGAAGAGGAAATTAGARGTTTTAGTCTTGCATGCATATGTCTGCCCGCTCCTTGCCGTTCGATAAAGTTGGATGAAAATTCGTATTGAACGAATCTCCGATAGTTAGATGATAACTCTGAATGGGGATATATATAGTATTGCCTTGTTACGCTGTTATTTTGAATATTTAAGAATACGTGAGCAATTTATTAGCACAAAACGGCATAACATTTTTACATCAAAAGTGTACGGTTAYACTTAAAGAAATACCACGATMAATGAATGAAAGAACATATACGACGTCGATTGCAAGCCTCTTCTAGTAAACTATACTTGCTTAAACACTAATAACGGCCACAAATGGTCGATTATCTTTTATTATAACTATTACGTAACGCACGCATTGATTKGTTGAAATGTGCAAAAAACCTTCAAGCGTTGATATTTTCTAAAAGCATTTACAGATTTTTCCGTGTTCCTCTGTAAGAGACGCGGGAATTGTTGTGATAAAATGAAACATRAACTGAATGGAGACACGGAAAAGATTTTCTAGTCCTTAATTAGATATTTTTTTAGGTGAAAATTAAAAGATTATTATCTACACAAATGACATAACAGCGTAAACATAAAAATGTCTTCATATTTTCTAACATTTTTACCAGCGTTATTTTATTTGCGTGCAATTTTATAAACCAATTAAAACTAAGTTCCAAAAGCCCCATCTCTCTTCAATTAAACATAGTAAATCAACACTAAATTAATTTGTTTGTCATTAATATCCACTAGATTATAATTATGTTTGTTATTTCTTATCATATTGACCAAAGCTAACTCAAATAATAAAGCCACATACATTTACAATTTACTAAAGCTGGATTTGCATAACGGTAAGGGGGGCCAGATATGTAGGGCATTGTGACCTACACTATATTAAAAGTAGATCGATTTCCGTCATACTTTTCTTAAAAGCGTTATACAACGGACAAAACTTATCAAACGGAAACACTTGAAGCAATTAATTCCAGTGATAAAGTCTGTTTCTATATTAATACTTCTAATAAAATAGCAAAATTGCGTTTCATTGTTACCTCCCTCTCCCCCATGGGCTGTCCTGTATCATGTTTGACGTCCCCCCTCCCTTGATTCAATCGATAGGTCATGGCTAGTGACGAGTTCGCTGGAGCAGGGCATATCATCAGGAGCAATGTCTTCGCTCTACTTATGTGGTCTAATTTTGCTGCTTGTACCATGTATATGTCTTGTTGGAGGTAAGGGAACCAGAAATATTGACCAGTAAACACCACTGACAGCACTGGATTATAAAAGTCCATAACATTGAATTCGGTTAAGTTTTTAGAAAAAAAACTAACCCATCAAAAAAACCTTTTATTATAATCAAGAAGACAAGAAAGAAAAGAATATGTAAGAATAGAACACATAAATGGATTGTTTTTTGCTTTGAATAGGCAGTCAGATTGGTGGGTGGACAAAGCTCTCTATGTTCCCGGTATGTTTTGAGGGTCAAGCTAATCGCTATGGCCACTTTGTGTACATGGGTGAATCGAAACTCGTGGCCGCCATAAAGCTGGTGTACTTATCAGGAAACATAAGGTAGACAGCCTATGACTAAACTAATACTTGCATTTCCACGAAGGCAGCTTTCATGACTGATTTATGCTTGAAGGGTTTCCTAGAATGTAGTAAATGTATTTAAATCGCAACACAAAATTGCGGTCTCAGTTGGGAACCGAGTTAGATTCGATCAAGCTTCAAAAGCAATTAATTCAGTTTGTTTGGATATAATATGCCAACGAGGCTTTATCGCCGCATACAAACTTACATGATTTCGTGGAAAATGTTTTTTTTACGACACTCCAATTAAGTCGCCATTTTTCTTTGCTATCCTAGTAGTTACTAAGAACCCAATCACAGGGCGAGTTGTTTCATTGGTTGTGAAAATTAAATGTAACAATTAGACCACACGTGGACTACAATCGACTATCAGATTTGAGACGTCTAATTGTTTTAATATCCATCAAACTATATGATAAATTTGAAAATAGAAAATAGACAATTTTTGCGACAATTTTTGCTTCCCTTGAGCCATGTCTAACATGCATAGTTGAGCAGTCAATCAGAAAATTGGATTGAAATAGAATAAATGATACAAGATCTGTAGATAAGAATTTGCTTTCAGGTGTGTTAAGGACACGGCATACAACAGTCACTGGGGTTGTCATCACTACTCATCATACATTAACTACCCCCTTAACGTTGTCATCACTGATCAAGAAAACAACATCCTGTACCCTGAATCCAGTTACTTCAAAAACGCTGGCTTGTGGTATTATCTTCCTGGTACGGATGACCTCGTCACCAGTGAGTTGGTGTTTGTGAACTACGCCATCCCGTTTTGGCTGGAAAAACATCGACAGCTGAGGATCTGGTACGGCGAGGATCTCAAAAACTGGAACGAGGGCGATAATCAAGGCCGAGTATGCGTGGCAGTGTTCGCCAAATTTTATGACTGAATTACATCAGTGAAATAAAAGCATTATTATCGATAAATGAAAGTGTTTTATATTTCAAAGCTTTAAAACATRCATTTATGCTCATCTTGAATCTCCACCCCAATCATTAGAGACATTAGAGCATTGGCATTCATGTAGAGGTAATCATTCCTTTGATAATTTGTTCTTCACACAGCCACCTTTAACCTCTCAACAAAAGTTATTTAACATTTATGTGTAGATGAAGTAATGAACTCAATTCCTGCCATACCCATGCCTAGTAGTAGAAACTACATTACACTCAAGAGTGAGAACTACACTTTACTCAAGGCAAAGACTTGGCTGCTTGTACCATGTTTTTTAGCTTYTTTACTGCAAGTTCTGGCGGTAGAAATCCCAAACCACAGTCAGGTGAGACGACRAGACGATCGGCAGGGAAGACGGTCAGGATTTCCTGTAAACGAGCCTTAATTTCCTCAACACTTTCGACTTTACTGCTTGCGATTTTTACCACGCCAACAATCACCTAGGTAACCAAAGATTGAGATTAACACTCATGCAACACAAAAACAATGAAAAAGTCACATATTTTGCCTTTTTGCGTCAAATGKCWACTGATCGTCAGTAATAATGTGTAAAGCCTGGCTTCCATATAGTCGGTGAAAGTTTCCCATAGTACCCCATAAGAAAGCCTTACATGGMTTACTTTTATTTTGGCATTTTCAATGACAATGACGATGTGGTATTTTATCGCCAAATGAACCCTAATTCTGAGGTTTTTGCGTTGTTTTAGAGCGCTGGATAGCTAATATGTAGATTGACATGGAAACTGGGCTTTGACTCGATGTAATGTTAGYGTKCATCATTACWRSAGTATCCTAGTTTCATAATRACCTGTGACTTCTTGAATCGTTTGAATAACTCCAAGTTATTGTGCCTATGTGCATCTTCAATGGCGATGTAATCAAATCCAGCAGAGTCGAGTTTGTCAGCGATTTTTAAATATGCACCTGGGTCAGCCTTCACGTAGTCGGTTTGATCCTGAGYACAAACAAAACAAATGAGAAACACCCGACCTCAAGTAAAGATATCACAAAAATGACTTAATGTAAAAGAGAAAAACAAGTGAGTGAAACTGAGCCAGAAATGAGTAAAACCTGAGTTAAAACACAACCCGACTTGCACAACGTGACAACTCAACGTTTAGTCTACTCTACTTCGCTGCCTCCCCTTTTGTCGGGCTTCATGTCCCCTCCCCAGAAAAGCCCGACAACAGGGGAGGCTGGGAAAGGCACTAGCTTTAGTAAGTCACGTTGTGTTAATATAACTTCTAGTAATTTTTTTGTGTATCTAGCGCGTATTTCAAATGATGGTGTAGTAGTAACTATGATGAATTTCAGGAGACATTTTCGAATTTTATGTCCGTGTACCCAATACATTGTACGATGCATGTAGAATGACGACAAGTCGTTGCGAGTACGGTAAGATATTTACTGCATTAGCTCGTTTGCATGTGCAATGTCGTTACAAACGTTTACCTACCAAATACAKYGGGTATCCRCARCATAAATGAACACATTTGTTAACAGTAGTAGGAACACCTTCAAAGCACTGGGCTAAGTGATCAATAGCGTATTCTAATGCTTTATCAGGACAACGAACAAGTACCGGGTCATCCACCTAAAACCAAAAATCGTAATCGATGATTATCCAATATGCTAAGCGCGTTCTCGCGGCTTTCGTGAATTGGGAATCCATTACATAGGAGACAAGCAAGAGACATCAGTGCAAAAAGTGAATTTTAATATTAGTGATATATTTCCATAGTGATTTTGAATGTTTCCATAGTGATTTTTAATATTTCAATAGTGATTTTTATATATTTCCATTGTGATTTTTAATGTTTCCATACTGATAATTTTAATATGTCCATAGTGATTTGCATATATTTCCATTGTGATTTTAATGTTTCCATACTGATAATTTTTAATATTTCAATAGTGATTATTATATATTTCCATTGTGATTTTTAAT